TTATCTTTTATGATCACTGTTATTATTGAAAAATATCAACTGTCAAAATGTGTTTGATATGATTTATCATTCCTTTGTGATTAAATAGAGGATATTACATGGGCACAAGGAAATTGTGCTCACTCGTAGGATATCAATTCAAAACTTGAAGATGAAATTGATATCTTCAAGCAAAAACTGTAATGTTTTGTTTATTAAATGGTATTGTGTATATTTCAAAAAACATACTCTGTAACATATCATTAGAAGATCAAAAAGTTTGAACATTTGAATTATTAATTTATGATTTCTGCACGATTGAAAAATACCAAAACTTTCAAAACATTTTTATTATTAATTTGTGATTTCTGCATGATTAAGAAATATAAAAACTGTCAAAATGTATATTTTATTATGATTCCTGTAATGATTGAAAAATATCAAATCTGTCAAAATGCATTTAATATGAATTTTTGATTGCTGCATGTATATATAATTGAAAAATGTCAAACTGTCAAAATATATTTAATATTTATTAGTTTATGAWTTCTGTAATAGTATACAAGGAAGTTTTCCTTCAGCAGCATTGGGTAGATAATGAGAAAACATTAAGTGTGGCCAGATACTGTTTTATTTTGTCTCRGCTTTTGCTGTGCTACATTCATTCCTACAATATGCGGTCTCTGACTCGATTTCTGTATAATGTTTGAAAAATATAAAAAACAGTCAAAATGATTTTATTTTTAATTTATGATTCCTGCATGATTTAAACATATCAAAACTTTCATTTTTATATATGTTGTATATGTTATCAAAACTGTCAAAATGTATTTATTATTTTBAATCTTTCTTAGTTGATGAATGTGAAGGCAACTTTGGTGGAGACCATACAGATGACAAAAATGCTATCTACAGTGCATGTGCATCAACTTCAGGTGTAAGTTTACAATATGATGATGTTAATGTTGTTGAGAATTCTATCGTCCAAACAGGTTTAGGTCATCCAGATGATATGCAAAATACTACTCATTTGGAGGAAGTTGCCAATCATCATGTTGCAGAAAACGAGTTACCCAGAACACCTTGCAGCACACAACTGCATCCTGAAACTAGTATTCAAAGTGAAGAAAGTGAACTCATTGCAGCAGCAGGAGCTGTACAGCATACTACCCATTTGGAGGATGTTGGCAATCAACATACTGAGCCAGATGAGATGCCTGAAGTTCCTAGAGTTCTTAACGACAGACAACCATGTGTTGAAGCTAGCGACCGCAACGATGAAAGTGGACTGATTGAGCGAGCAAGAGCTGTTGGCATTGCCTATGAGTTTGCAAAACCTGGTAGTACTGAAACTGATGACGATAAGAGAAGAAGGAGACGCCGAAATCAAGGACGGATTTTGCAAGGCGAAAGGAGACTCCTTGAAGTGATAAATGATCTTCCCCCACCACCCCCACCGGGATCAAGTCAACATGAAGATGAATGCTATGCCGCTATTCGAGCATTTGAGGTTGAACAAATGACTTATGAAATCAGTTGTTGCAATGTTTGCAGAGAAAGACGACTTCAAGCGAAACCCACAAGAGGTGATTGTTGCTCTCGTTGTAAAAGGGACACGCAAACTCCAAAGTTATGGTCAGAAGAAAATAACATGGACCCTGGGGACTCGTCCCAGATGAGCTTGCAGACTTAACAGATGCCGAGCAGATGGTTATAGCAAGACTTGCACCTTCCATTCATGTACGAATGTTGAAACACGGAGGCATTGGGTCAATAGGGCATTGTGTCGCGTTCCCACAGGCTGTTCAAGAACCTGCCACACTCCTTCCACGTTTACAAGCAGAGGTTTATATCATTCGTGTACGAAGGCAAGGCAAGGATGATACACATAAAGATTTCAGAGTGCGAAGGCATCGTGTGGAGGCAGCAATTCGATGGTTAAAGCACAACAACCCTGCTTATAGTACTATAACCATTGATGACGCTCGAATTCAAGACTTGCCCGAGGATGGCGAATTACCCCAACTACGCACAGTGGAATTTACAGAGACGCAACATSAAAATGACCAAGGGCCAGCCCCAAATCAGTTGGATCTTGAAGTGTCAGAAAATGATGAGGAGACTGTTTCTGGAGTACTACTGCCCGAACCTGGTGTGAATGTGCAAGAACAGATTGAGACAGCTGTGAACCAACTCAGCGAGTCTGTACATGATGAAGAATCGCATAACAGACACACAGTTGAACGACCGGTTATCCCATGGCCATCGACAGATACAACACCAGCATCAGAATTTAGTACACCCTATTTTTTCACAATGGCATTTCCCTGTCTCTTCCCAAAAGGAAATGGAGATTACAATGCAAACCGTGCAAGAACTTGTACAGCACTACACGAGTGGGCAGAGCATTTGCTGTGGTATCAGGATGGACGATTTGCCAAGCACAAAGTGTGGAAATTTGTAGTACACAACATGGTTATGAGAAAACGAGCCCTTGAACAGAGCAGATATTTCGTTGACCAGCAACTCGGAGAACCCCACATGACTGTGGCTGATCTGCAAGAACGCTTTGCAAGAGGAGATACAACCATAGC